CGCACGGAGCACGGGACAGCCGGGGCATGAGAGTGGCCCCCTCACCCTGGTTCCATGCGGCGCGGGGGGCAACCACTACCCACAGGGTCCCTGGGGCCACACGTGTGATGAGTTTGTGACAGCCTCAGCCCTGGCACGGGGGAGGTTTGCGCTCGCTAGTGGGGTCCCTGGGGCGGGAGTGTTTGGGACAGGGTCAGCCCAGGTGCCCACAGGGTCCCTGGGGCCACATGTGTGATGAGTTTGTGACAGCCTCAGCCCTGGCACGGGGGAGGTTTGCGCTCGCTAGTGGGGTCCCTGGGGCGGGAGTGTTTGGGACAGGGTCAGCCCAGGTGCGAGAGGAGGTGCCCTGCTGCTGTCACCCCACCGAGCAGTTTCCTGCGGGAGGTCCTAGAATAAACCCATGGCCGTGGCCTGGCCCAAGGTTACAGCCCCAGAGTGGCTTTTTCCCCCCCCGCCCTGCCAGCTCCTGGGCAGGGCGTGGGGCTGCCAGCGTCTCCGGCCTTCGCTCCGCCATGTCCCAGGAGATGGTCCAGGCTCACCGCCCTGACGGTGATGACAAGCTCAGGAAAATCCAGCCCTGGAGCCCAAGGCTTTTTAAGGAAGGGGAGAGCAAGCAGAGCAGATGACCCATGGGAAAGACATCTGCAGCCCCAGGAGGCACCAGCCAGTGGGGGGCCAAGGAGGGAAGCACTGCACCCCCAGGCAGCAAGGGAGGAGCCCTGAGGGAGCAGGATGCTGGGGTCCCCTTCCTGCAGCCGCCTGCCGCTTCCCCTACATGTTTCCCCCGTAACACCCTGAGCCGGGGCAGGAGCCGGGGCAGGGAGCACGTCCTGGCACACTCTGCGCGGGCTGATGCTGCTTGGTGCCATCCAGCTTTCCTTGAGCCGCAGCACTGGCTGGGCTGCTGGGATGGCAGATCCATGTCTGTCTGTCCCCACCCGTCCTGCTGGCTGGCTCCCCGCCAGCCCCGTCCCCTCCCTGCCTGGCTGGTTTTGGCTGTGGGCTCCCTCGCAGCGGGTGCCTGGATCCCCCCGGCGGCGTGTGTGCCCGTGCCCACGTGACAGATCCAGGATGCTTTCAGCATTTATGGTAATGTTTGGATTTCTCATTGCTTTACCAAACAGGAGAAGGAAAAAAAGAGCCGAGCCAAGGGCTGGGCGTGCTCCACTCATTCCCTGCCTCTGGCTGCACACCTGCCTCCCCCTCCCCGCTCCTGGCGCCTGCCGGGGCCCCTGTCATGCCTGGGGCACCGTGCCCTGGTGGGCTCCCCGCCGCAGGGCTGGAGAGGTGCAGGGGCTGCAGGGTTTAGAGGTCGCGGCTCTGTAGCAGGGCTTCTCCGTCATTGCTCCGTGCTCCGGGGTGCAGAGGGGAGCCTGTTGCCTGCTCTCCCCTGCCGTAGGGTGTCCAGCTCCACAGCATCCAGACCTGCTGGAGAGAGGCACAGGGCTCAGGCACCCCAGCACGGGGCGAGGAGGGGTGCAGGGGGCTGGGAGCACCCGGGGGATCGGTTCAGGTTGGAACACCGATTTGGCTGGAGCAGCATAGAGCAATGCTCCCAGTGGAGGGGCTGCGAGGCTGGGGTGCAGGGACAGGAAACGCCTTCCTGGGGCCCTGCGGGGGGGACAGAGGTCCCTGCCAGGGTGCCTGGCAGCTGGGCTGTGGCCAGGACCCCTCCTTGCGAGGAGGGTCCCCCCAGCTGTCCCTGCACTTGCTGGAGGTCCGGGCACAATGCCACTGCGCTCCCAGCTGTGCCCGTGGCAGCTGCCAGCAGCAGGACAGGATGGGCCCCGCTTGTGAGCCCCCTCCCCTTGTCAGCCCCTCAGTGCTCATTTGGCACAGGGTAGACAGGGCTCTGCTGCAAACCGGGCTGCGCTGGTGCTAACCGGGGCCACCACAGCCCACCCTGAGGGCACAGGAGCCCGGGATGTGCGTGCACCCCTGCCTGCCTGCCCTGCAGGCACCCCTGCCTGGAGACCCACTACCGGCAAGGGGCTG